AATATTTCTTCTTGTTTCTGGTACATAAAATTAAATACTGCTAAGGCATATCAAGAAGATAAGTGACAGTCATGTCACAAAAAAACACTTTTTCAGGTGAAGGCATCCTTACTTATTTAATGGCTTTTATGGTTTTCTTGCAACAAAACTTGAAGAGACAGAAGACCTGACCTGCAGACAGGGTGACGCCAACCATGCTGGATTTCAAACTGTGGTTGGACGCATTGCTTGTCGCACCAAAAATATCTGCTAAATTCCCGGTTTCTAGCTCTTATATGAACACAGCTGGAGTGCGGTGCACATCACTGACCATTTCCTCACACAACAATCTTGTAAGAAGAACGAGAAAATAGAAAAACAGCCGAAAACAGCAATTAATGTCACAGTGCGTCAGCCCTGCTGTTAGCAAAGGCCATTTATCCTCTTAGGACAGCCTGAAAGACAACACAACGAGTGTGAAAAAAAGATCAATTAAAGCCCATTTATAAAGGGAGGGGGGCAATTTGTGCAGTATCCGGGCTGAAATGGTAATGCGATTCTATAAATATGCCAGAGGTGGTGTAAGTTGGTGCCTGGCAGTAAAAATAGTCGAGTTTCCCAGGAGAAGTGATGACGTCCATCGGCAAGGCTGCTTTGGCAGCAGAGAACAGAATGGGCATCATCCGTCTCCATAGCAACACTGACATGATATGACGCAGGAGCAGGTGAATTGCAAAGGGGGGGGGTGTACACTGGAGAGATGCTGTGTGGGTGCACAAGTCGAAGGAAAGAGAAGAGAAAGGACTCTGCCTAACAGTCAAGACACCCTTGTTTTCAGCCTCTGTGGTGTAACAGCTAGATGAGAGAGGCAGTCGCACACAGAGAAAAACATCCAGCGAAAAGCACTGATTTTGTGTCACAGATTCCTTTAATCTCCTGTGTACAGTACATATGGTCTGACATACACGTGGCAGACATCTACGCTATAAAATATCCCTTGGCTACACCTGGATTTGTACACAGGAAAAAGTCATAAAGGTCAGATTATGTAAACCAGCAGAAATGTAGTCGAGCATAATGTAAAACGTCTGCGCATGTGAAATTCAAATAGCACAGCAGCAAAAGCAGAAAAGGCAGCAGGCGTTTTTGTGGGCTGTCGAGGAACAATGACGAACAAGAGCACCTCACACGATTAAGATAAAAATAGAATCCTGCAATTTCAGGTCGATCTGGAGAAAGGAAATAAAAGCTCTCCAGCTTTAACTTTAAAAAGAGAGAAGGAGAAAAGCCTGCATTCCGGGGAATATGGAAGCAACGCTCTTTAACCCTGCCATTAACGTTCCTGAGGCCTTGTCTGGAATGTTTACAACACGTTCCGGCTAATTGCAAACAGGCCGGGGCATATCAGCAAAAACACTGTTTCAGCACTTGAGCAGTACACACTCCAGAATTCACTGCTGGTTTCCTTTTGGCAAAGATCTGGGAAGGGTTTTGTACGAGGGGAGTTTGAAAACACCACTAAATCACCAAACGGCAACATGAATGAGTGGGACTGCAGGGACCACATCTCTGCGCCTACAGGACTGCTGGATGGTCCTTTTTGTTTGGCACTGCGTGGCCAAAGCCACATTGCACACTCTGTTTCCAGTTTCCAGTTCATGCAATCTGTTTCAAATTCACCGATCGCTTAGGAACACCATGCTGGTTTTAAGCCATCTCGAGCTAATCGGACATCGGGCTTCCCAGCAAACCTCTGCATCTTCTTCCTTTAGGATAAGCAAAGAAAGGGAAAGCGAGCAGATACCATTGAAGAATCCTTGGAAACGCTGTGATGGATTAGTGCTGGTGACAGTGCTTGTCCCTATGACTTTTCACTTGAGCCCAGCCCTCGCAAGTGGATCGCACCACTGTGCAGCTCCAGCTTGATCAAAGCCTTCCGGACGCAGCAGAAGAGCAGCTCCCACCGGGACCAGCGGCCCAGCTGGGAGAGAGGGCACCCCATGCAACCCCTGCAGCCAGGGACTTCAGAGGGACTATTGTGTGATCCTGGCAGAACATAAAAGAAACCATCAGCCCTGGCAGCTTTCCATGCAATCCTAATGAAAATCAGATATCCTATTGCTATTACTGGAAAGAACAAAAAAAGTTGTTAATAAAGAGCAATCAAACAGCTCGTTCCTCGTTTGTATGGTCATGATCTTACTCCCTTTATTTAATTGTTCTGAGACATCCCCAGCTTAATGAGCGCGGATGAGCCTCAGCTGCTTTTGCATTTTCTCCAGGTGCTGTTAAAAACAGGCCAAAAGGATTTCCCCCTCACCATAAGAAGAAGAGTTTACACAGCCTGTCGATTTTTCCTCTTTCTGCTGGGTCATGTTTTGCTCCATTCGTGCTCAGTTCGTATTCTGACCCATTCTCTGTTGAGGGGTTGAACTGGATTATTTCACACTTAAGTCATTTATTTCTGGCTTGTTTCCAGAGACCTGGGGTTGGCAGACATGCTGTACTACTGTTGCAAAACTTGTGCACGGCCATTCGAGAGAGTGTGACACTAGTTTGTTTCCCCCAGTACAGTTCCTTGCGGCGCACCTTGCAAAGGTTTTTCTAGGAAAACAAGCCAGCACTGATATGTGCTGGAGGGACAGGACTTTCTTCTACGGAACAGGATCAGCAATCTCTGAAAGAATGGTGATCCTGTTGTAGCACACACACAACATAAGTGGCCACTTGAAAACATTACAAAATACAGGGATCTGATATTAATCCCAAAATACCTCCTGCTGCCATTTTATTAATACGAAACAGATGAGCCATTCGATCTGAATAAGTGAACCTTTGCAATTTAAGTTCTCGCTTGGCACACAGAAACGCAAGCAAAGGAATCCAAGTAATTCTTTTGTCCCTTAATGCAAAAGTCCTCCTTTGAGCTGCAGGTCGTAAGACAACACACAGCCACTTCCTTCTTAGTATCTAATTGGCTTGCAAAGCTCAAGTTGTAGGGAGTCCTTTTCTCCATCCAGGCTAAAACAATATAAGCTGTGCTAGACTGTCTTTTGCTACAGGGACATACAGTATACCACTGTAACAATACAGACACACACAGATTTGGCTCCAGACCCACTTGGGACTTTTGGAAAACATTATCTTTGAATTAAATGGAATATGTATTATGGTTTAACGAACAGGCCCCAGGGACAACATGAAATTCTAGAAAAAAAGCTCATTAGATCTCAAATGCTGCCTATGAAATCTTTCATGTGGGCTCAAAAGCAGTGTAGAAAAGTGCACATGGACTGCACAACAAGGGCAAGAAGTATATGTGGACAGACTCTGATCCAAGATTGTGAACTCACAACATGCTTAATGCAGTATAGACAATTGATTTGACATGTTTCCTAACCTATTGTATGGTATCTCCCACTGAAGGCAAGAACTTTTGCTGTTAAAAAGTAATCAATTTAACTTCCTCTCCATAATTTCACATTATAATTATGTGTATGCTGACACATATTTATTTAAAATAAGCTATTAATATTTTTAGTACTAAGCAATGAACCGCATCAATTATTCTCTAGTTCATGCAGCAGCTCCTAAATCATTTTTATTATTACTCTCATTTTTTATTACAGTGGAGCTATTGCCATATGCATTCTATAAAAACAATCCCTGAAAATATAGAGCTGAATGGATTTAATTCCGGAAGATTCCCTGGTAAGGGAATTCATCCATGGGAGAATCTGCTGTCAAAGATGACTGAACTCATTTTATAAGAATATAAAGATTTTCATAGTACTCTACTCAAAATAGCATGTTTCTGGTGTCATTTGGTGATCACAAGTGCAGATCGTTTTGAAATCAGTTTTTTTCATTTCTCACTTTTTTTTCCATTATTCCTTTTTTCTCTTACTGGTTTCGTATCCTGCTGGGTGATCTGTCTGCTAAAGAGTGCCAACGCTGAATGATTTCTGGGAAAGGGGGCTTGTGCAAAGAATCTTCAAAGCCGCCGATGGAGAAACAAGGGAGAGGAAGTCCATGCCTTGCCAACGTCCTCCTCTGTTCTTTGTGCAATTGTCTCTTCAAGGGCTTTCACAATGACACGCCGACCCCCGGCGCCGTGCCAGGGCGGGCAGGTGTGAACCCCAGTCACTAGTGAACCATCCGGGGGTCCCGACCACCGCCTTCAACCTGCATCAGACGGGGCACAACGCTCAGAATCGGACCAAGGCAGATAACCCTGTCAGATTAAAGGTTTCACTTCCGTTTTGAACTGCAGCTTCAATGAACATGCTTATCGCCGCAGGAATTGTGTGGGGGGGAGGCAATGCAGAAGCCGTTCAGTCCAGAGACGTAAGGATAGAAGCATCCTTAACAACAAACACACCTTCCAAAACATCTCCGTGTGGTTGGGCGGGGCAGGACTGCTCGCAACAGCAGTGTGGCGCAGGAAATTAATTTTAAAACAAAGTGAAAATGACAGAAGAGCGTGCTTCTCGCAGGACATTGCTTAGTATCTGTGACCCTAGTTTGAATCTCAGACTGCCTTGTCAGCTGACATGACACTGGGCCAGTGATACACATTGCCCAATCTAGGTTAAGGATGCCACCGGTATAAATAAGCAAATGAACTCAACTGTTCTTTCAGAAAACACACTTCCTTTTTTTCTTGACAAAAATATTTGGTAAGCTGCACAAACAACTAGCTTGTCATGGAAATTTGTGTTTCTGGAGGGGGAGGGGGAGTTATTGTCTATTTCAAGTTGCAGCTCCTATATTATTTTTATTACTCCTCTCATTGTTTATCGCAGTGGAGCTATTGCCCCCACCCAGCATCCTTGTAAGGCCCTGAGGTTCTGCCAGCTGTTATCGGCTACGTCCATGAGTCATTCCTTTGAGGAATGATAACAAAACAGTACGAGAACGGTTTAAAAATGTTTTTAAGGACCGTGACAATGACCACTGGTCACCTACAAAACAAATCCGTTTTCCAAAAGAAACAAATGACCACTCCAACCACAAAAACGCTAGTTCGCTTTTTTTCCTGTTTATTAAAAAAAGACCTCCAACCCTTCGCCAACATTTACAAAACAAGATTTTTAGTACTCCTGTTCACACATGAAGGTGAAAAAAACAAGAACGTGCCAAAAAAAAAAGATCAAAATGAAACTCCATTTCTTGGAATTGTAAGGGAGTACATTTAAGCAAAAGATTTCAAGCTGGTTCAACGGACCAGTGAAGACAAAAGGGTGGAGGGATATCTGAACAAATGTATCCTTTATACAGAAAAGCAGTGAGCTGCTCTCACTCACTCACACACAACGGCACAGCTCGCCACACCCTTGGCCCTGCTGGCTTTTATTATGCGAGTATCCTCTCGGTGAACACAGCTGAGTGCACAGAATGTATGAGTCATGTACCAACCCTTGGGAGTCAACTTAACTTTTTTTAAGCAAAAAAAAAAGATTGTTTATACTTCTCCTGAGTAAAGAAGTACACACAGTTTAGGGATTCCTTCCTGAAAACATTGTCCACCCAGCCCTTGGGCACTTTCCATCCAGACAGGCAGGTAAAAACCAAGCCTGATCTGCTGCTGGGAGACTTCAGGTCCAAGCTAGCACACCAGATTCCACGCATGGTGATCTGGCTCACGTGACAAAGCCTGTCAGAGCTCTGCAGGAGCTACCAGCGATAACCCAGTAAAATAATGTTTTTCCTCTTCCTCCCCGAAAAATGTTACATCCGAATGTGGATGTTCGAACAGGACAGGCTGATTAGCCAGGCATTAACCTGTCTGGATCAGAGAGGCCCTTTTTGTTGAAGGTATGTAACGAAAACGCAGCTTCGCATGGGTGAAGCCTTTTTGAAAAGAGCAAACACAAGGAGAATTCAGCAATCAAATCTGGTCAGTCAAAACTTAGCAGAAAGCATACAGAATTTTTTTAATCATCTCAATTTTGCCCTTGGAGAAGAGTCAGAATTAGAACATGAATGGTGGTATATTTCTTACCGGCATCCGAGTGCTTTATCAGAAATTTTGAATTCAAAGCCAAGAAGATGTAATCTTGTATTACAAAAGGTCTCGGACATATACACTGTGGATTGTTTTGCAGCTGATTAAGGATGAGACAGGGTTAAGCCTTCAATCTGTGGAGTGCACTTAACAACACTGTGTTGCGAAATCACACTCCCATGATTCACTAAAAAAAAAAACAGGCTTTCAAGAGAACATTTCAAACATGCATTCAGAACCTGGAATTTGATACTATAAAAAGAGTAAGAAGCAAGCCAGAACAACTTTTGATACTTGAGGACAACATTCGAGAAACAAAGTGACTTTTCCTAGACACATGCTCTATATGCCAAATGATGGGGGCAAATTTTCTCAACTCCAATACAGTGTTGAAAACAAAAGGTAGAGCAATAGAGTATCCATTACCTTGCAAGGTCTTTGGGGTAATGAGCAGTTGAATGGATGATCTTTTAAGAGTTTTACTTCTGTGGAGTGATTTTAATAAAAATCCATTTTACTCCATTAACAAAACAAGCTATCCATAGCTACCTTTTCCCTCTGCTGTCTTTTTTCAAATAAAATATCCATTATATAAGTATGCACATCCCAACGAAATCAGAAAAGAGCATTTATCCTTAATAGCCCGGATAAGAAAATGGCCAAAGCATACTACTTCTTCCTTCAAATAAGATTGCATTTCTCACATTTTCTGAAGTTCCACTTTTAACAATACAAACCCTCCTTATAAGCCTGCAATTCTACGGTTAGAACCACTCCTTTGCTAAGTTATGTCAAATTAACCAAAGCCCTCAAAGCAAGATCATCGTATATCTTATATCGCCATCCATACCTGTGAACTTTTTTTGTGGTGTTTAACGATATCAAAACCTAATTCTTCTGCCGAAAAATGTTGGACAGGTGCCACCTACAATTATAAGACTGGCATTTCCAAAAAAGTAGACTTCATATCCTTTCTTCGAGGACTTTTGCTATTATAATACTACATTATTAGTAATAACAATGAACAAAAAAAATCAGAAGCTATATTTTCTTAAATTGCACAGCAGTCTAAGCGACACCAGGTTCTGCTTTTCAGTTTAGATGACGGCATTTGCACCTAGTCTAGACTTGTGTGCCAGAGATCATACTGGATCATGTAAAGAATGACTGCTCCATTTTTAATCACTCAGGAACTCTCTCTTGGTGTCATCATAGACTGCGATTCCCCAGGAAGCAGAGCCATCATTTTCATTATTACAGCTCAAAGTCATCTCTACAACAAATGAATAAGTCATTCACAAAACCACTGAATAACTACTTCACAAAGAAACAAGGACTATGGATGGGATTACAAGTAACCAAAAAAGCTGTCAGAGAGCAACCAAAAAGTGGAAGAAAAGACAAAATCTCCCTTCAACAAAAATAATGCCAGTCAGAGCCTAAGGGATAAAACAGCAAAAGTAATTTTTAAATGTCGAATCTTTGATGCTTTTATTGACACGCGCTGCTTGAGATCGGAGTCGCTCCTCATATGCGGGCAAAAACCAACGCAAGGCTCGGAGTGGCTCATACAGCTGTGCATCGACAACGGCCCAGCCTTCGCGGCTTCTGAATCGGCCTGCAGCTCAGGGGCCCATGCAGTCCGTGAAGGCAGACTCCCGTCATCTCCAAGTCCCTCCTCAGTGCTGGTTCTTCCCTCCTGGTGGTTTGCCTGGCTTCTTCTCCTGCTGTCCTCGCCCAGCTCCAGGAATGCCTCGCCCTCGGCCCCCGAACACACCTGTCAGGACGCACGGCACCAGCTCACCTGCTTGTACGCACACACCCCCGCAATAGACACCTCTTCGTCTCTTTACCCCATTATTATCTACAGCAGAGTAAGTATCTTACCTGCATGCACTCTAAAACTGCTCCGAGGACAAGCCGCGGAATCCGTAATGACAAAAATTAAAGGATACAGACCGAGGTCACTAGGAGCAGGTAAGGACACCCTCCACAGCGTGTGAAGCATGCAAATTCTGTACAATGAGCACAAACGGATGACAGAACATCTGTGCTCCTTGATCTTCACTTGTTTTTACCCAGAGTAAAAATGGATACAGGGAAGGCTTGCTTTCCCTTATCAAGTTTGCTTTCCCTAGTTAAGCAGGGTCTTATCTACTTGTGTAATACACTAAAATAGCAGCTTGTCTGTCCTATGCCCTGTTCCATCATGCTATTATCTGCAGTGTTTCTAAGAGCTGAGGGTTTTTATCTTTAGCACTACTAATACTATATCGGGCAATTTCACATTTTTACTAAAGAGACATTGTGCAGGATGGATACATATGGCTGACTGAAGGGACAAAGGAATTCTTTACAGAGAGAACTTGGTAACGGGATGATATGTCTAACACTTTTAGTCATGTGTCAATCTGTGCTGTCAGGATAGCAATTCCAAAAACAGTACCAGTACAAATATTAAAACAGGCACTCTGAGAATGACATTTCTCATCTGAAGCAGAATGAAGATGACAACTGCAGCACTCTATTTCAAACAATTTTTTCTGTTCGCTACGGGTGCTCCAGTGAGTGATCAGCCAACCTGTGGAAACCATATTGCAGCAGGTCCCCTTTAACCTGGTAGCTTGGCATGGAGCACCTACACACATCAACCCTGTTATATGGTCCCTGCACCCTGTATCCTGTAACCGGAATTAACCTGTGAACTGTGAAACCGGAGTTGAGGCTGGCCCAGCCCTGGTGTTAACCCCAATGTGGCCTGTACCTGGTCTTGCCTCACTGAGTGGCCCTGGGAACAAACCCTTCAGGGATGGGAGAGCAGCGCGGTGATTCTCATTTGTGACTAACCCCTCATGGTAAGGTCATCCACGCCTTTTCCTCTTTAGCCTACAGGACAGCAAAACTGCTGCTCCCTTTAGACCTATGGGCAAATATAACCTGTTCCCTCGCCTAACTTAAAACCCTAAAACTAGCCTGCCTTACAGAGAAAACTGATTGGATACTGCCACAGATCTTGCTCTTTTAGCTATTTCCTCTCTGACTGGTCTCTGAGGTACACAAGCACAGTGCAAGTCAGCGCAGGCAGCTCTGGGAAACGGCTTCTGTTACAAGCAGATACCGTTAACTTGTTGTCCTAAGCCTGTCATAATCGTCAAAAACACCATATTGTGAGCAAATCCTCCAAGCCACGGCTGTCCAAATGTTTAAGCTTTTGGCTTATTCTTCTAAATTACAGAGCGTTCAAATATGGAAATAAAACAAAATTAAAGAATAACTTTATACATCTACTACAGTTAAACCAACAAAACTGTAAGTAGGTCAAAATGAAATACAACATAAAAATAAGAGTTCTGGGCCATGAATAGTACACTATGGTTTCAGAAACTTACATTAATCTTAGGTTAAAATGTAAAAATATCACAAACTTGTATTAATCTGTTTTTTTTTTTCACCGCTAACAGTTTCATCTCCTTACTAGGAAACCACTGAGGCTGTAAATGTTATAATTCTCTTTCAATGTTTTACAAAACCAACTTTCAGTCTGAGTCACTCCTGACTTGATCGTGCTATTACAAATTTCCATTAACCAATTTCACCTTTTGTCTGCTTGATTTCAACCGTTCTCTTCTTTCTAAATAAAATGTCATGCAGGCAAGTGATTTGCATGGAAAGAAGATAATTCTCCAGGGTGTAACAGCCACTCGAACATAAGGTATAAGAACTGATGTAAAAATGTTGCCATGCGAAAGTATTGGCAATATGCTGAACTTATATGATATATGACCAATAACACATTTCTAAGGTAAAATCAAGTAATATTCCTGATTTTATTCAAAGTTTCTGGCTTTTTTCAAACCGTTCTGTAATTGGAAGATGTAGGCATGAAAGAAGCAGTACTCATGCTTGTGGTATACTAAAAAGAGAACAATCGTTCCATTTTGACCTTTTACCTTCTGCATCGCTGTAAAGAGATGCCTTCCAATACTTGTTCTTTTCTTTGGCTGTTACGAACGGAAAGGCTCTAGGCTCAAGACCTTAGCTTGGGCAGAGTCAGACGTAAAGCATTTGTCAGAATTAAAAAGTGCACAGTGATGAAGGTTTCCTGCCTTCTGCGGGGATGACGGTGGTGCCCTCGCCTGTGACTCATGCTGGAGTGGATATATAATCCCTATGCCCTTTTCTTCCAGCATGATTTACGGGACGGGCCCGATGCCTTGGTCATTCAAGCAGGGGTGGGAGCCTGCCAGAGCCTCCCGCTCGATCCAGAGTGGCACGTACCTCTGCCGGCCCCTCCTCCTCGGCCCTTCTGCTGCTGCTTGTTCTGCTGCATGCCCCCGCGCCCGCGGCCCTTGGACATCACCTCCTCCTTCACCATGTCGATGATCTCGTCGGGGATGCGCAGGTACTTGATGGTGCTCCCTCGGATATAGCACTCCGGCATCCTCCAGAACTTGTCTCCATCCTGTCGGGGCGGGGGGCGGGGGGACAGGAAAGGTGAACAGGTGAACACAAGAGACAAGGAGGCCTCTATCCACAGGTGTGCGCTACGAGAACTGAGAGCGTTTCTCTCCCAGGTTCTCAAAAACTCCATAGACGCAGGGTGATTGCATTCTGAAAGATTTAAGAAAATAATTTTCACGATATGACTGTGCAATTAATTTGTTTTTTCCCCATGGTTTTTGATCCAATTTGCGATCTTTCCGACTCAAAACATTGTTTTTTGTATTTACAGCAGAACCATATATTGGCAATGGAGTCTTCTTAAGGTTCAAAAAACAACTTCTTCTCTTTTATCACACCGCTGCAGTTTCACCCAGGGCAATAACTCTCTTAAGCTATATTCTTAAGCTCACTTAAGACACTGATCTCCATCAGGCTTATAAGTCTACTTTGATTTCAGTGAAAACTCTTCCATCTCTTTTCATCAGACCAGAGGAGACCTGAATAACAGTATCAGGATTTTAAAGGGCTTTCCTGAAAAGCTAGTATTTCCTTTTCTAAACATACAGAGCCACCTAGTGGTCAGTACCTTAACTGTACAAATTCAGCTTCTGCTGCACCTATACATCACCACCTGTCACACACTTCGAAAGATTTAACGACATCTCTTTCAAGTCCCGCTACACAGCAATGAGAAAGGTCCTACCCTAGATGTACAGATGACTTCTCTCAGGTTGATGTTCATCCAGTTGTCACAGCTCACTAGGTGACCGTTGTATGTCTCCCCATTCTTCAGCTCCACCAGCTTTGAAACAAGAATAAAAGGGTCAGGACGGGCTCTGAACAGTTAGAGAATACAAGAGCAATACAAAAGAAAAGATCTCATTCAAAAAACAAACACATAGCACAGCGGACGACAAAGTACAACACATTCTCAAACATTTTTATTATAAAAATGTTGGAATACAAATTATATCCAGTGTGAGAGAGTTTATAATTACTTTTTGATTTACACAGATCTATTGCACAAAAGCACTCGGGGTAAAGTACCTTACTCAAGGGTCTGGCAGCTTTATCACCACTTAGGTTCTGAACACACAACCCTCTAACTCCTTGTCAGGAGTCCAGAGCATTGACCACTACCCCACACTACAGGCCTGGGGATACAGGACCCTTCTCTAAAGCAACAGGCTCATTTGTCTCAATATGACCATGAGAGCTATTTCTTACACTGTTTAAAGCATTTTCTGTCTGTTCAACACATGTAACCATATGATCTCTTGATATTTTTCACCATGATGTTTTTTCATGGTGAAATCATTCAATAGGAAATCATTAAATACAGGAGTAAAACATAGGAAATCAAAAGCTACAGGTGCTGGCAGAAAACTTGAGCGGATAAAACAGTTCTGAGTAAAAGACATTTCATGTCCTTTTTCATTAGGTTGCCCCTGTAATTTTATTAGTGCATTATTTTATGCGCACTTACTTACCATAGGGTGATTTTGAGCAGTCTTCAACAATGACAGTGGCAGCTGGAAAAGCAACAATGGTTTAGGAAAACTTTGTGATATGGATACCAAAAAAATATATTTTTAAGAGCAGAATTAACAAATTCCACTTTCTATGAAATACAGTAGTAATACAAAAGAAAAGACGTGACTCAGAACCCTAAAAGTCTGTTTTTTCAATACACTCGGCCAGCAGCCATATCACTCTGCAACTCCCAGCTGGCAGCCCACTTAAGCTCGGCGGGTGTGAGCCTGGTCAGTACCTGGATGGGACACCTCCTGGGAAAAACTAAGGCTGCTGCTGGAAGAGGTGTTAGTGGGGCCAGAAGGGGGTGCTCACCCTGTGATCCATGTGGGTCTTAATACCCCAGTATAGTGACGGGCACACTATACTGTAAGCAGGCACTGTACTTCTGATGAGACGTAAAACCGAGGTCCTGACTCTCTGTGGTCATTAAAAATCCCAGGGCATTCCTCGTAAAGAGTAGGGTTGTAACCAAATTTCCCATTGGCCCTTACCAATCACGGCCTCCTAATAATCCCCATCTATGAATTGGCTTCATTATTCTGCTCTCCTCCCCACTAATAGTGTTCCAGCGCACTATGGCTGCCGTCGCATCATCCAGGTGGATGCTGCACAGGGAGCCTGCATAGTGGAGGGGATCCCCATTACCTGTAAAGCGCTTTGAGTGGAGTGTCCAGAAAAGCGCTATACAAGTGTAAGCAATTATTACTTACAGCAGAAACCTGGTTATCCTTAGAGGACTCCCATCATAAGGCCCAGCCCTGCTCAGTAATAACACTTAGGCTCTTGTACACATTACAGGTGCTGACCACCCCCCTTGAAACCTAGATGACATGGAGCTGCCCTCATATCACTTGTGCTAATAACTAACAGGGCCAGAACACAGTGGAAATGCAGTTAGTTATATGCTAACACTGCAAAATGCAGCATCTGGTTTAGCAAAATTAAAGCCAGCTATCCTCAGGTCTAGACCAAGAGTAAGTCTCTTGATATTGTAAATAATTATTTATGCAGAAACCACAAGCTATAACGAAATGTGAATCATATATCCGTTTTTTTAACAGCACTAAAGAGTGATTTAAAGAGATTTTTAAGAGATTTGACTTTCAACGCACTGGTAACAGAATATACGTTTTGACTAATGGTTAACTTGTCTATCCAGAGATTTAACTGTAATTGAAAATCGGTTACATCATGTACTTGGACACGAGATGTTAGAGACATTCAGAGGACCAGTACGAATCTGCTCGTCACACGGGGAAAATGTAAACGCAAACGAGAGACTCAAGAAGAGCTGCAGGCCGTGTAACACACGTGTATAGGTAACATCGCAGGACTCGCATTTCATGTTAAATTGCTGTTGCGGCACGTTGTTTGAGATTTATGTTAACGAATGACAGACATTTAGTTACCTCTGAGCACGAAACTTACGATGAAAACTACCATTTCTGCGACTATGGAATTAACTAAGCGTTTTCCTCTGCAGATAATGTAAAGTTAAGCAATGTACTTGTTAATGCGGGTATACGAGTTAAACCTCTAAGTATCGCATCTACTCGCTGTGAAGGGCGATGTAAACACACGTTTCCGCGTTTTAATAATTATCTCCTCCCTTTCCCGTAAAAGTGCCTATAAAAATGCCTATAAGTACCTATAAACCCCCCAAACCTCGTACACAAAACGCAAAACTCACCATTCTCTTTCTGCTTCCTTTTATAATTTTTGCTTCACTGTGTTAACCCAGCCTGTTAATCATACAACCATGAGGGATAACTGTACTCTCCAATCATACCTCAAAAACGCGAGTGAAGACTAAAATAAGCCAATCAAAAGGAAGCGAAGGAGGGTTCTTCGTTGGAATGCTATAGTTAGTTTGAGATAACAATTTGCCGCCAATTGATTTGTACAGTTTGCCGTAAAGTATGCTTCTGTCGTAAAAACATGCTCGCATCCTCCTTCTGTTCTGCAGAGTGAAAACGCGGAAGAGTATATTACAAAGCTAGCAAAGGAACTTTAGAAAAATATATATTTCAGTGTGAAAAAGAAAGAATATGTTATATATATATGATGATGGAAGCGATTACCTTTTCTAAAATAATGTATTAAGTGTGTTTTTGACAGACGTAATAGATCTGAAGATGTCCCTACGAAAAATCACATTTGGAGACATCCAGACCCCCATGTGAACATGTGATTTAGGATGTGATATCACACGTAGTCCTCGATATTTAACTAGGCCCTCTGCCAATTCAGTTAAAAGGTCCCCACCAAAACTTCGAGCTCAACAGCTCACATCCCTCGGTTAGCATGACAGCATTAAATTGTTCAGATTTTATTAGTAACGAGTTTAATTAGATTTATCGAAATAATTTAAAGGTGTTTAATAAGGGAACATTAATCATGATTCAGCGAGGCATACAAATCTTCTGCTTTGGAACAACTATGTCCACATATTTTTCTCTTTGTACCTTTGATCTGCTATTAATATTCAATAGTTTTCTATTATTCGTGTTTCCGAACCTATCATCAGAATGCTTATTGTTCTGGTGATAGGCGCATCCTATACAGGACAGGACTACTGATATAGCAATTCCTAATAATTTCATTTCAGCTTGTTTAGAATAAACATTGTCAAATGCACAGCTGTGTAGAGTTGAGGAATGAATTCAGTTATTCTTTAAATTAGGACACAGACCTAAAGCATTTAAATATTTCGTGGCGTTTTTTAAGCGACAGATCGCGCAAAGGGCGGCTTCAGTTTTTTCAAGAGCAGCAGACCTGAAATTAAAAATAGGTTCTGTGCCGACGAAATGACAATGAAAAGCAAATTTCGTGGGATTTTTGTTGATAAGGTGAGCCTGATTAATGTCATTGCTGGCCGACATTATACGCTTTCAGGAGTCAAGTATGGGTTAATGCAGTCTTGTAGGGTGGGCTGCAGGTTACACTCCTAATCTCAAAAGGAGATTTCAGGTTACTAGTGTCAAAGGTTGTATTTAATGTGTTTGCTAGGGATTGGGGTAATTAAAAAAAAAATACCACGTGAATGAAAGCTTAAGTTATCTTTAAAGAAGACGGAGGAACCCGAAAGAAAACGCACAAAGACTCCATTCATCCTTACTCCTTATGTGTTGCATGTTTGTGCAGGATGAGAAAAAATCTTTTTCTCCCCGAGATAACGGCGCGTGTGCATGCCGGAGGGCAGTACAGATGACCAGGCTATACTGAATGGGTGTCCGTCCACCCCGCCTCATTTTAATTTACACGAAGGTAAGTGTACACATTCCTCACCCTTCGTTACCATCAAAACGGGGGGGGGGGGAGATCTGTCACAAGTTATATTTAATAGCCAGTGACCATTTTGCAATAGTAGTCGCATTCCCTATATCGTGATTTGTTGCAGTGGCTAGTTGACTATATGGGAGCAGTTCCATCTGGGAGTCTTGTTACCTAAATATCTTTCACATACCTCTACCACATTAGAATATAAATAATACCTTGCACACTGGCTGAGAGACAGAGAGTATTTGGTTGTAGAGAGAGATTTTTGAAGGAAGGATTGTGATGTTCGATTGGAGTGGATAACCTTTGCCAATATATACAAAAACCTACAGTCATTACCCCCCCTCCATGTTCTGAAACCCTATTTGCCAGCACGCGGTAAGAAAGCATATCTGTGGTTCATTTGTTCTGTTCTGTATATTCTCAAACTCTCCTGTGGCTTGCTGGAAAGGTCACTGTCTATCAGTGCTGTGGCTGCTCCAAGCACCCCAGTAATCAATATTCTGTCCTGAACAAGCTTCTGCACGTTGATCACGGAGTCGGTAATGTTTATCAGTGTTTATTCCACTCCTTATGTCTTATTCCGGTGACTGTTCCATGACCCCATGTGCATATCGTGGCCTTCCTGAAGTTGAGAAATAAACGCCCTTTGAAGAGTTGTATGAATAACTCAAAGATGTCTTCTAAATTTTTAAGACCATTAAAATGCCACTCCTTTGATTAATGAAACGTCAGACTGGTGGATATGTGAGATGTCGGCGAGTTTGCTACTGAGCCTTATTTTAGAGAGCACCCTTTCCATTATCGTAAATACCATAAAAGGTTAATACTGTACCTAAAGCATCCATTTAGGTTATTATTTGTACAAGTAATGTTGCTATTGTAATCAATTTGGTTTTATTGTACAAATGCTAAAAATAGCTTTTTTTTTTTAATTGTAAGCACAAAATTATCTCGTTGAAGAAGTGGTTTCCAACCCTGGTGATAAGGGAACCCCGTTTGTTCTGGCTTTTATTCAAGTCGAATATCTTTCAATCCTCTAAATGAGGCAGGTTTTAAAATCATTTTTCAGCCCTTAAAATGTTGGATGGGATTTCTAACTAAGATCACCTTGGGCCAATTGCTGCAAGTCAGAACTCCCACGACTCGTGTGTGTTAGCTGAAATGTAACCAGCTCGACCCCTGCAGGAGACGGACAGAAATTCTCACTGTGGTTGTGTCTGATATAGTGTTCAACACAAACCTTACTTACATAAAACTTGTTCCAAACTGTTTTAACAGAAATACATTAGCCATTTCCTAATGATCTAGTTGAGGAAAAACGGCATAAAGTTACAAACAAATCTATTGCTGGAACAATACGCTTCAAGAAGGGTTTGTTCAAAACAAGGACTGCACACAAAAACAGGTAAAGAAAGGACTGAGCAAACGGGTCAATTAAAGGCATCAACTTGCATCAGTGATGAAACGGCTCAGCTGGAATGAAAACCAGCAGACACAGGAGTAGCTCAGGACCAGGGTTAGCAACAACTGCATTAAAGTATGAACTTTCATCCTCCATCACTCCCTCTTCCAACCTCCTTGTCCAATTCAGAGTGGCAGGGGAGCCCCAGTTTCTTCTGGCAAGCGATGGGGCACAAAGAGACCAGCAGACACCCACGCCTGGGCCACTTTCCCTGAAGCCAATTAACCTGCCAGTATGTGTCTGGACGGAGAGAAAACCGGAGTACCTGGAGGTAATCCATGCAAACATGGGGATTATATTCTATCCATATTCAGTGATTAAAAATATTGCTTTTTTTTTAATAGGAAGATGGTAGCTCCCTACAGTATAGCTGTGGTCCAGACCCAAGTTCATTAATTAAATCATTACTAAACCTGAATCATTTACCTTCTAAATACCACCCAGTGACCTGGGGCTTCTTGGAAAACATGAGCAATCGACACCAGAGCATGTGAGATCTCGATTATAAAAAATATTGATTTTTTTTTTTTTTTTTTGCCCGCTTTATTACACTTTGGGGGGGAGTCCTCCTTTAGGACAAATTAGGAATCGGCAAGTGATTTAAGCCAAAACCTTTAGAGCTAATATTGTAATGCATGAACCTGACATTTAGATGTGATTCACTGTCTCCTACCCATCCAGGGCCAGTTTGTGTGATCACTGGAATGGGAGATGAGAATGATTTGTGTTCTCATTAATAAAAACATACAAAAAAAAGTTCACATCTGTTAGAGACTGGAAGCAAAGCGAGTATCTTTCACGGTCAGCAGTCCCCTTGGTTACAATGACTTTCCCTAAAGAACACACCAACTTTCCTGCCTTAGTAAAATATAAAAACCTTTTGCTGCCTTTAATTATCACATATGTATGTATATATGCACATAATTACCCATATGCTATTATACAGTATATTGCTATCAATGTAATCATACAGAACTTAATTCTGAATTCATACTTGGCTACAATCGCACATCTTGCTTTACCCTGGGAAAATGGCAAAAAAGTGCAAAGTGCTAATCAAATGTGAGAAAAGATTATTGTAAAAGCAGATCAGTCATTGTTGCACAGATTTAGTCCTTCTGCCCAGGCTTGTTTGCAAATGCCGTTGTGAGGAATGGCTCTCCCCAGACTTCTTTATATCATGTCTGTGTGTTATACATGTTGTGTGACCACAGTTGTTCTTTATAGTTGTTCAGGTTGTTGCTAGTCTACCCAACTTAGCAGAATTTGCTTTCCTGCCTGTGAAGAAATGCAACTGCAGGCACTTTTACAACAGTCCGACCAGGTTGTATTAATCCTGGCTTGCCATTTCCTGTCTGTTTGACACCATGTGATACAAGGGCAGTTTTACCCAAGTGCCTTTCACCTGTCTCCCCCGAACCTGGAGTCCCCAGTTCCTGCAGCTGTTAGTGGCACCTTTCATTTCGCATCTGGTTAAGGTGATTGCAATTGTTCTGCACTTAATTGGTTCAATTAAATCATTACGGTCTGAGAGGTAATGAAAACCAGGAGTGGTGACAGTCCAGGATCAGAGGCCGCTTACTCGTGTCTAGCTCCGTAATTGAGCACATATTATTTTGGGTTTTCTCAGGAGAGTGGGCTGCTGGGTTTTTTTTTTTCCTGTGCCTTTGACATCTAGACATCTGGTCACCCATGGGAACCGCATCGTCTGCAGAACATAATTACCGGTCCGGTCACAGCGCGGCCCCCCTTCTCGCCTGGCGAGCGTGTAACCCGATGAGTAAGCATGCATCTCGCAGGCCTCGTCGGCTGAGCCTCCCTCCTCCTCCTCCTCCCCGGCTTTGCGGGCACCCCACGTGTCCCTGCTGTGTGTGTTTGCGTGTCATCAGCTGATGCAGGTGTCGAGCGTGGCGACGTCAGACGCCGCCTGCCCGTAAGCGAGAAAGAGGAACAGGCGAGGAAAGACAGAGCAAGTAAAGGAGCTGCAAACGCCTGACTCCAGAAAGTGAGGCAGCCGGGGAAAGCAAGCGAAGCACGGTGTTTTTTCGGTGAGGCCGGGTTAAACCCCCACGTAAATTAAAAGGGTGTCCTTGTTTCTCTTTCTCCACGTTCCGGAGGGCAGGCATGGATAACGGCAAGCGGACTGTTGTAGTCACAGGTAAGCTGGTCAACTTTCTCTGGTCTTTTCTCGTCTTCGCCGTGCCTCGGCGAGCTTAGTGGATACAGAAGCGGAGGAGGAGGGCAAAGAACAAGCCGAGACGTATGCCGATGGTGCGAGTTTCATTTTCTGTAAAAAAAAAAAAGTTTAAAATCCGTCATCTTCGCGGTTACCCCGGTTCTCCGCTTTAAAAAAAGTTAAGCGATAGCACCCCGCTCGGGCTGAATCCCTCGGACTGCATGCTACCGTCTTATTAAATATCACCGTGGAGAAGCTGACGTTTCAAGGCAGCGTTGTCTGCGTTTTCTTCATGCTGTTTAGAAATTCACCCACTCGAATATATGCATGCGGTTTTTTTTTGAGTTATCGGCGTATCCTAACTTTATTACAGTGTGTCTCGCCGGATGCGTATTGTAATTTCAGAAGTGTCTTAATTGATGTAAGAGTAGAGGAAAGTTGGCTGGGTAAGTGGAGGGGGTGGACTGGCGTCCTGCAAGTTTTGTCTCGGCGTTATCGCGACCCAAAAATGCCTCCCCTTTCACCCCCGCACGGTTCGCGGAGGTTTTTATTGTTCCTCGGCGGTGCGGTGTCGCACCTATGCTTGGCTGGTTGGCGTTTCTCACTCATCGCACAAAGCGCCGTGGCAGCCCCGGGTCAGACAGATAAGAGATGCAGATTGCCTGGGAACAGAGCCGCAGACAAAAGAGAGGCTGACAACCCAGCTGCCGACCTCTGTACCCCCCCCCTCCTCC